TGGCTGGGGACAGCAACAAGTCCCTAAAAACAGCGTGCGCGGGAGGCAGGGCACAGCTGCCTGCCCAGCGCTCTGCCTGGAGGGGGCTCATCAGGCAGCATCAACTTCTGCGTGCTAACCAGCCGAGCCTGAGCCGCCACGGAGAATTCACCTCGGCGGAGGTTATCGGCGAGCGGATGAATGCTGGCTGCCTCCAAGCCCGAAACCAACTGGCTGTTGAATGTACCGGGGGCCCCTTCGCGGGGCCACTTCAAAGCCACGTTGTTTTGGCAGCCAGTCCGGCTCCCGGGTGTGACAGCGTTGGGGTTTGTGTGATTCCAGCCCTGCTGCCTCACAAATTGCTGGGGTAGACCCAGAACCGCTGAGGACTGTGGTGTGGGATGAACCGGAGCATTGACTCTTTTCCTGCCTGACTGCAGCTAGGTTATAAACGTTATCTGGAATTGTCAGCTAAGAACGAACTCTGAGCTTGGCATAACTGACACGGCGGAGCTGTACATAGCTTTGTGCTACTGAGTAAATTCCACAGCTTTGCTTCTTTTCAAATTTATGGTCTCTGCCCTCGTGGCAGGGGAGAGCCCGCTGTGGGGCTGGCGATCCCACCCAGCTGTCCCTGCAGCAGCGCACCGACAGTGCAGTCAGTAGCGCGGGGAACTACAGGAGCTGGGGACAGAAGACACTGTGCAGGCTCCTGTCCCCTTTCCTCCCTCCCCATCACCGATCTGAAGCACCCGTAACCAGCCAGGTGCTGTTCAGAAACCCTCCGCCCGCGACGTGCTCTGCCGTAGTTCGTCAGAGAGTGTGTGCCCCTCCTCCAAGTCAAGCTCTCACGCTGCGTTCCCTACAGTGCTCAGACTCACTGGTTTTAAGTTCCGCAGCAAAGCATCGAGCACCTTCTCACCCATTTCAACAGGTGTTGGAGGGCACCAGCATTTTGTTGCACAAGACAGCATAGGCTCAGCAGAAAGCACAGCACAGGTACAGCAGAAAGCAATGCAACAGTCCCTTGTCCCCATCTCTCTTCAATTCATAAACCCCTCTGGCCCAAATCAGCATCTCGCACAAAGTCTCCCTGCTAAGCCTCATGCTTTCGCTTCCCCTGAGGAAACTTCAGCACCAGCTCAGCCAGGTCTCCAGCGTTTAGCTGTGTTGCTCCTCCAACCATGGAGGGGACAACGCGCTTTCTAGAGAACAGAGATGCGGCTCCAAACCTAATTCAAGGATGGTGATGGACACAGACTTGCACTGACACCGTGCTGTGGGTATTTGGGTCCCTCAACTCCTCCTGCTCCTTTCCTATGAATCAGCTCAAACTCTTAGGGATCAAAGGACTCTTCCAACTGCTGCCGCTGCCCCTTTGCCTCCAGAGTGGGCCAGAAGACAGGACAGCGCTGTCTGGAGAAGCACTACCTTGCAGGGACCCATCTGGCTCTGACAGGAGAGTGTTGCTGACAGCAGCGGGTAACTGCTGCCCACCAGCTCCCAACTCATGGAGGGGTGCAGGGACACCTGCAAGCTGGGATCCAAACGGCTGCGGGGATTTTTCTGGCTTGTTGTATCTGCCGCTCTTCCTCACCCATGAGCCTCTCTCACCTGCTCCCTCTTTACAGTCTCAACTTTTCCTGGTTCTCAGGTTTAAACCAACCCCAACCATAAAAACCCTCTTAATCTCATGCTACACCGTTACTTCTCTCCCGTGCCTGCCCTCGCTCACTGAAATAATCTGTCTCTATGCCTTTCAGTATTGCTATAATTACTAGTTATTCCAGACTTCCAGGGTCAGGAGAGCATTGGTGGTTTCCTCTCCATTCTCTCACTCAAAGCACCTCCTTGAAATTAGATTTTCCATTTTTAAGTTTCTCTTAGCTCCTAGATGGAGGCAGAGTGGATTTCCCTTTTGAGGGGGGGAATCCAAACTACGATGCTTCAGCATTCTTTGGAAGTTTTCCCACTGGTCAGAATTACTGTGTTTAACAAAAATACCTAACAGAGCAAAAACAAATACCAAAATAACCCAACCAAACAAGTCTGTATTCATGTTACCTGGGAAGAGACATCATGGTCCAAAACTGGGACAGAGGCAACTTTTGTGACTAAATCTCAGGACTGGGAGTAAGAAGCTAGAAAACCTACTCCTCCGCAATTGACTCATTCTGTGACAGATCACTGAGATTATCTGAGCATCGGTTTCCTTGTCAGCAAAATAAATGGGACTTACTAGATTAACATTCATGAAGGAATTTGAGAACGTCGCTGCAGTGTGCCACAGAGGATTTTTTTTTTTTTTTATTCTTTAGCCTTCATCTAAAGCTATTTTAGACTTTATAACCTGCATCAGGCATACATGACTTTGCCCAAGTAATTTACAAGGACGCAGTATTAGCTTTCTGCAGGCAGCCCAAAGCAGCAGCACTATGCAGGTTTGGTGATCAGGCTCAAGGGTTCAACATGCAGCTGCCACAGACCTACCAAACAAGTTTGGGTAAGTCATGTTCGCGTCTCAAATTAAGCAGGGAAGATAGCATTTATCCATGTCCTTGGGATGTCGATAGGCAATGTTCAAAAGGAGAAAACGTTCATATTTTCAGCCACCAGGTCTTTCAAGTCCACCACACTGAGTTGATTTCTCATATATTGCAATTCGTTCAGCCCTTTGGTTTCCCATCACCCAAATCAACCTCAGTCATTAAGATCTCTCTACTGTCACACCTCTGGTACTAAAGACTCTGAACTCCAGTTTGACAACACTCTCAAAATACATTTTCCCTCTTCTTTGCTGTTGATTCGTTGCTTGAAAATCCCTTCTTTAATCAAAGCAAAGCCCAGAGGGAATCCACTTACAATCTGGCTCCTATACTGACTGGAAGATCTGGAGGGCAAGAAGTGATCTGTGACATCTAAGGACAACTTCACATTGCCTCTACCCAAACACAAAAACCTATCTGATGCACTCACCAAGGGAATCAAAGAGCATTCATTCTGGAAAGGGCAGGAGACAGCTTCTCCTGGAAAGTGTGATGAAACACATGACATTTATCTGGGGAAACATCAAAGATCATCTGGAGGTTTTTGTTAAAAAACCCCTTCCCTGGTGATCCTTTCCGCACTTTGCTGCAATGCATCTCACTTATCTTGCCCAGCCCCGTAGAGTGGCACATCTCAGTACCCCCGAGCTACACCATTCGGACAGTGCTTTGGGTAGCCTCTAAAATAAGTGTCACTCGCAAAAGCATTACCTAAAGCAGCTCCTTGCTCCCTTCCCACCCCAGCCACAGCAGCCTATTCACCCATGCAAACGCACCAAAAACTACCGAATCAGGGACCAGATGTTCACAAAGCACAAGGGTCTGCATGACTGACAAAAAGCAAGACCGAGCAAGCGCATAAACTTACAAATGGCCATCGCTTGAGCTGGAGAATTTAAATGAGGAACATCAACCTTCAAGCACAACTTGAAGGCACTTAGACAATACAACATGGGAAGAAAAGAATCTTTATTCTAAGTATTTCAAGAACCGCATCTCTGTTTTGATACCAGTGTAGCTGTTGGCGGTCTTGTTCTTTCTAACTGTAGCATCTCTTTGCTCCACTTCCTCAGACTATGTCCTTCTCCTCTGTTCATCTCGCTGACCTGAGCATGGGGACTAAGAGAGGCTGCGTGTCCGCTGGCCTGCAAGGCCACAGAGCGGATGCCACACTCCCGCTGTTGATTTAATTGCTGGAGCTGGTACTCGGCCCTGCGAGGAGGCCGGTGGCGCAAGGGAGGTGCTCTCCACAGAGCCAGGCCATGGCCCTGCTTGTCCCAAACCTCTGTGCCGGGAAGTTCAGCGCCGGGCAGCCACCCCTTAGGGTGACAAGAGCGCTCGTCCTTCAGGCGGGGGGGAAACCCCCGATCTGGCTAGGTGAGCCGTGCCGCCGCGGGGCGGGGCCGGGCCCGCCCGAAGCCCGGGTCCCCCCGGCCACCCCCAGCCCCGGCGATGGCGGCCCCCGCGCGCCCCCTCACCTCAGGGGCTGCGCCCGCTCCTTCCCGCCCGCAACGCGATAGGCCGCCGCAGCTGGAGCCCAGCCAATCAGCAAAGTCCCCCCCCCTCCCCGGCGCCCCCCCCCCCCGCCCCCCGGCGGGTCCCGCCCCTTCCGCGAAGCCCCCGGCGCGGTGCGGGCGGGAATGGCCCCGAGCCAATCACGGCCCGCGGCTCTGCCGGGGTGGGGGAAGGGGGAGGGGGCGTGGTGCGGACCGCCGGCCTGCGGGCCCTTTAAGTGAGGAAACTTCGCCTCGCCACCTCAAGACCCCCTCGCGCCCGGATTGGCTGGCGGGGCCGCCGGCGGAGACGCCTCGGGCTGCGCGCCTGCTATTGATCGGCAGCGCCCGTCAGTCAGGGCAGGGCTCTCCCCTCATTGGCCGCCGCCCTCTCCGTCCCGCCGTGGGGGCGGGGGCCGCCGCTTCCCGGAGGAAAGGGGTCCGGCGGGCGGGCGAGCGCCCACCGGGGACTCGGGGTAGGAAGAGCGGGCGGGCAGGGGCGCGGGGTCGCGCGGCCGCGGGGCTCACCGATGCGCTGCCCCACGGGGGAGCTGAAGGGGTTCCCCAGGAGAAAGTCCATCGCCGCCGCGCCGCGATCAGCTGACGACGCCGCCGCCGCCGCCGCCGCTCACGTGACCCGCGCGCCAGGCCGGGGCGGGCCCCCGCCCGGGCTCCGCTGTGACGCCAGCGGCCGCCGCCCGGGAGGAGCGCCCGGCACGGCACGGCACGGCACGGCACGGCACGGCACGGCACGGCCCCGAGGCGCGGAGCGACGCTGCTCCCAGCCGGCCTCACACCGGCCCGTGGGAACCGACCGCCATCGAGAGGCTCCACCGCTTCCTGCGGCTGCCCCGCGCGTCGGGGGGTCGCGCACGGAAACCCACGCCCGGGCCCGTGGCGACAGGGACGCTAAACGCCGGGAGTTAAGGACAGCTGCAGGAAACGCAGTTGCGTGCCAAGGAATGAGTGACAACACTCCAAATGTTAAAAAAAAATTATATTGTAAGTACAGTACAAAAAAGTTTCTTTGTATAATTGTAACGTAATCTGGATCAAACAGCAAGGAAATAACAAAAATATAAAAACTTCTAAGTCTTGCCAAAGTTTTCCCTCTAGTACCAAATACCACAAGATACAGATTATACAAAGTGTACAAATTTTAAATAAAAATACAATACACCAGGGTTGTGTGTGTTCTTCACTCTTCGAGAGTTTTTCATTGTTCGGCCAATAAAGCTGAAGCTGAACCCCTTCTGTTCCTTAAGAGAGCAGATCTACCCTTTCACCAGAATGCTTTCTGCTGTGAAGGGCTGGAAAGAGCTGGTTACAGTGTGCCTCTCCCAACTGCAGGTGCTTTAGTGCGGGCCAGGATCTGGAGCGGGATCCAACTGCCTCCCTCCTGGGCCCTTCCCAATTCCAGGCTCACTGGGATTAGTCACGTATTGTTAAAACACGTATGCTCTGGGCTGAGGCTTGGGTTGAGAACTTGTAGCGTGGTCTGAGAACCTTCTGCCTCCTCCACTATCTGACTGAGAAAGCCTAACACTGCACCGAGAAAAGCTCAGTAAGAGACAGACTACCTCGTACAGGTGCAGCTGGGGAGTACATGGTGAAGAGGAATGGGGAGAAAAAACCCTCCTGCACACCTGAGGATTTAATTTAAATGTGACTTGAGGCTCAGACACAACGAGGGACAGCTCACCTTCAATTGCCCTGATAAAACAAGCTAGACTTCAGGTTGGAAGTAAAAATGTGCTCTTCTGTCATTTAAAAACTTTTCTGTTAGAAGGCTGGAAAGGCTAGAGTAAAATTATATTTCAGTTGTTCTACCTACCTCCACAAGAGCCTGTTTCTACAAACACTTAAAAATCTTACTGGTGTTTCCCCATACAATGCCAATGCTTACTATTATGCATGGAACTGATTCCTGCAGGAAGTGGGGTGAGGCAAACTTGATTCCTATTTTCCACACACTGTTGGTGGTGGGAGGGGTTTTTTCTTTTAAATTATGTATATATATACACACACAGAGAAATATACAGGATAAATTAAAATCTGTTACAGATACTGGTAAAAGTTAAATACATATGATATGAACACCACATACACGTACATACAGACACACAAAAGCCTATATGAGAATCAAGTGCTCTCCTTCTAGAGGAGCAGAAAACCAAATACCAAGTATGTGGCTGGAAGGAAGGGGAATCGGTCCAGTCAACCCACATGAGCCTTACTCAGCCATAACTGCTTCAGACTGGTCATGAGTCCCTGCCTTGCAGCAGCACCATGGCTCTTTCAATACTGCTGGTGAAAGGGACGGGGGGTGAGCGATCTCAGAAAACAAAGCTGTCTGTTCACAAAACAGGAGCAAGATGGGCAGAAGCAATCCAAGTTTTTCCATCTGCTTCCACGCTCCTATCTGTCAAAGCAGGCTGATCATGCCCTGGAAAAATCAGCAGGAGGCTCATTCTCTCAAGCCAATGAAGTTGGTTGATATATCGTGCTAATGACGATCTGGGTGCAAGTCCACGACAAAAGATTAAATTCATTGTCATCGTCCACTTGACGTCACATGCCAGCTACCAGACCAGCCAACTGATGCTGACAACTTTCAGTTATTACTGACTGAAGAGGGGGCGTTGGAAGAAGTGACCAAAAGGCAAAAACCTCTGTATCAGCTATCCAGCTTTGCCCTCAAGTGGGATATTTTAAACTGAAAACCAGTTAGAAACAGGGCTGGTGAAGAGTTCAGTTCTATTCCTTGGTCCAAAATATATTGTCATCTCTATCTGCCCATTGAATATCAGAACACTTTAGGTTGGAAGGGATTTTGGGAGGTCATCTGGTCCATCTCCCTGCTTAAAGAAAGTCCAACTAGAGCAAGCTGGTCATTCACTTTTTGAATATCATCAAGGATGGAGAGGGAACAACCTCTCTGGGCTGCCCGTTTCAATGACCTCTCTCACGGTGATGTTTTTTTCTTTACATTGAGAAGTCCATTCTCTGGCTGCTTCCCCCACTAAAGGATCTGAATTTAAGGCGAGTGTCTCAAAAGCTTTCTGAATTCTTCATACAAAATACTTTCAGGTTGGAGGACATTTCACCCACCAACACAAAAGGGTTTTCTCAGCTTAACTTCACAACTTTTCGTAAAATAGAAGTCAACTTGTTACAATCCTATGTATATACTATACAGATATAAAACTTTAAAACCCTACACACGGAGCCCTTCAGGAGTGCCGGCGTAGTGCATATGTACACAAGTCAGTTATGCAGAAGTTGGGTACATCCCAGGATCCTTTCCCATCAAAGTCCAGGCATGATGTAGGCGATGTTGTCTAGCGTATTTGACTGGGAAAAGAAATTCAGTATTTTTTAGTGTCAGGTAATGACTCAAAATCCTTAAAAAATGACATAGAGGAGGGTTGACTTGTCTTACAAGTTACCATATGACCAGACAACCAAATCTGCCTAGTCATCACCACCACCGCTAGGCTTATTTTCACAACTTTGGAAATATAAATTAACTAATCATAAAGGTAGCTTTGGTATTTGTAAGCACCTGGAAACAATTAAAATGCTTGAGGCTTTCTTCAAGTGACCTCCTCCTTATAAGCCTCATACGCTGTCTCTAAATTTGAAACAAGCCAACATGTCAACCACATCACATCAACCACAGGAAAGACTAGTGATGATGGACTTGAGCAAAGTGATCAAAGTTGTAGCATGTAAAAAAAAATTATTTGCCTTTACACTCACACAAGTCCTTTATGAAATTCTATAGTGTAAAAGTAAAGAGAAAAACCCTTAAACACAGCCACTAATAGGGTGTCAGATGGGAAAAAGAAGTGCCCTCCAGTTTTCCTTGCAAAACCTAATAGAGTTCTGAGTGAGAGCCCTTCTCATGCACATCAGAAAACAAGATCCGTCAGTATCTTCTGTGCATGTTCTTCAAATGCAGTATTTCAGTGAGCCCAAGCCTGTGGTTGGATGGCTGAAGGCCTTAGGAATACCACCGTTTCATTGCTGAAGACAGAGGAGCTGGATCTGCACCAGCCGATTCTAGAATTTAATAATGCCACCTACTGACTGAAAGAATAAATTGCATTCTACATGCAACACGACCACTGACCATTTTATCCGTCTTAAAACCCCACTGTCATTATGAATCTGATGGTAAAAATCAGAATAATTTCCCTGTTATCAAGTCTGAATACCCGTTTTCAGAAATGAAAGGTGCCTTAATCCACCTAAGGCTCCATTGCTCCTTATAACAATAAGTTGATCAAGTTTCCAATATACACACCATTAATCATGTGGTGTGTCATTGTTCTGAATGCACTTGGCAAGCAAGAAGGAAAAAAAGCATAGGATGTTTTTCCATGGCTTAGGATGGGAACACCCCACTGACTCAGCTTTTGTGCAGACAGCCAGTTTGTGGCAACTTTGCTGTTGTTGTTAACAGTCCATTCTCAGAATGAATCAGTGTTTGGGCTGTCCTATTAGAACATGCCAATTCACATCCCATTTTTGCTGTTCTGCCAAATTTGTTTTTAATCTCTTAACTTTTGCAGACTCTGTATTTGTTTTTCATTTCTACTCCTCTCCTTCACTGCTTTATGCATGTCTTCTGTTGGAGGCAAGACTCCTGATTCCTTTTATGCTGCTGCCATCTTAATCTGTGTTCACATCGTGCTACATAGATACCACAAGCTGTTGCTAAATCAAGGCTCAATATTAAGTGTAAAGTGGAAAAGAACCTGTAGTTATGCAGTTCCTTAAAACAGAGACTATTTTTCTCTCCTTGGAGAAGACTAGAGCCACATGTAAAAGGCCCTACTCAATCACATTAGGAATCCTGAGATCACGTTATTTTTTTATGCTATTAAAGGAAAAACAGATTGTGTGATGCAGAGCAGCTAGAGGGTGCTTTGTATTTTTACAGAAAATTACAACTTTCAAAAATACTGGTATGTGTACAGGCACTTTGATTCAGACGAATTGATTCAGTCACTAAAAAAAGACCTACACACACTGCAATCAATGCTACAAGTATTAGGTCCATTGCTACTGGGAGAAAAAAAGTTGCACAATACCATACAACAATAACATCTTAAAGAATTTCAAGAAATATTCCTCTATAAAAGTGTATGACCGAGAAGATTTTCTTATTGCACTGGAATTATAATCACATCATAAGACTAATTGATGAAAAAACTCTATCTGGATTCTACTGAAATTAGCAGTGCTAGAATGGAAATAACCATAAGGAACTCACCAAAACATGCTTGGGGCAGCCATTCAACTCAGGTAGCTGTGTGGTCAGACATGCTAACGGGCCCAAAGCACAGATGATTGAATCTAGAAGTACCGACAAACTTCCTGAAACAGCCACCATTCCCTGGAAGTTAGGAAGGAAAAAATTGGGTAGGGATGAGTAGTGGAAATTACGGTTCTTTCACAACTGCATTGATTCTCATGCAGAGACAGGATCTTCACTCTCGAGCCCCTCTAGTCCACTTTCAGTATTTACACAGTAACAAAACTACGCCGTGCACTTCACAGATAGTCGGCTGGTTCAGAAAATTTAAGAATTCAGTAGGCAACATATTGGTGTAGTAAAAAAGCAGGAGCAACAGAAAAGGTCAGAAAGTTGTCAGTTGCATAAAACAATTCCACTATTTTTTCGTAATGTAATTCCTTTACCATTTTGTACCACCTATTTTGTTAACTACATGAGTCCTAAAGACAACAGTTGTTTTATTATTGAAGTCTAAAGAAATGCTATGTCTGTAACAAATACTTTAGTCATTGACATCCCACTGAAAGGGAATCTGTTCGTGTGCCTTTCTGTAAAGGGGGAGATTTTACTCTGCTTGTTCCTCTGAAGAATGACCTCAATTGGTGATACCAGAAACAAAATGCAAGAGCATTTATTTTACTGCTGATAAAAAAGGCAAGCATAGTGGGATGAGATGATCATGCTAGCCATAAGATTCAATTATATCATTTGAGCCAAATTATGTGTTCTCCTTACTGGCTGGGCTGAGTTCTGAAACTACGTGTGTGTGTGTGCATGCACAGAATCACTATCATCTAACAGTAGGAAGCCATTAAAATATTACATCATCTACACTACCAGGTAAGTTGAAACAATAGTAGCCCCTATCCAATGCACCGGCAATACGATACTGCCAGAAAACAACAGGACATGCAAAAAACATCTTGGTGAAGGCTGACGGTTTTCTAAGAAGGCTTGAAACAGTAACAGAAACTGGACCAGAGACTGGCAAAGATCACAAGGAAGTACCAGATACAAGGTGAACATATATTAAGAAAGACCGAAGGGGCTGCTGAACTAAGAGCTGCCTTCGAGGACGTCGAGACACAAAGGACCTGTCTGCCTTTGATGCCTCCCGTTTACTGAGAAAGGAGGCCTTTTATTTCACTGAAAACAAACAGCAATGCATCAAATAAACACTACACACCATCTCTAATTTCTCTTCCTAACAGAAGAGCACTGGTTAAATTTTTATGTAAAATAAAATGTCTCCCCCCATCCTGTGCATAGATTAGATGACACCACTGTGACATCACTGGTTACGGACTCACCTCTGTTTCCTGCAGTCTGTGTCCAATGAGGCTCAGAGATTCACCCAGCAACTGCAAGTGTGCAGCTACATCAATTGGATCTGTCTCGGGGACTTTGGCTGGTGAGGAAGACACCACCACGGTGCTGGTGGGGGACTTCTTATGAGGGGAAATCACTCCCGTTGGAGAAGCTGGAAACACACAAAATTCCATATTCTCTTCTTTCATTCTTTTACTTGAAAGCCTATTTACTTACTAAAGTCCAAATCTCAAAGGCCTGAGATGCTTAAATAGTCCTGTGGACCTGGTCTTGTGGTTTTTGGAATCAAAACTTTCCTTCTACGTGTACAAAGCATCTACCTCAGCTGAATGCAATTTGGGAAACCTGATAATGAGAGATGCCAAGCCAAGAAAACCCTTTTTCCTCTAGCAGCAAACTAATCCCCCTAGAACTTCCTGCTGCCTCTTCTTATTTTACATTTCAATCCCTAAACTGCTAAAAACAACACTATTCTATGAATTAGACAAGGATATCTTTTTGAAAAATGCTGACATCATTCTTGCTCCCACAGAAAAATTATTTTTGAGTAATATGATCATTTACATGTCAAGCCTTGTGAGAACGCAGGTAGGGGTGTGAAGCAGGGAAAGACCTTTGTTCCTTATTCCACAGGCAACACTATCTTCCCTGTCCAAGAAAAAAGACTGGAGCAAATAAAGTGCAACAATTACCTTTTATTTTTGGTGCACCATCTGAAGAGGATGCCTTTCTCTTCACAGTGGTGGCTTCTGCTTTATTCTGCTTGTGTTGGAGATACTGAGCTTTCTGTTTCCAGATCTGCAGTTACCATGGTATGAAAAGAGAGATTCATAACATTAGGTAATTCTGTTAACCTGATGCCAGGACCTGAAGGCAGAACGACGTTACATAGCTAACTGGTGAAGCAATACCATGGGAAGAAAATGGATGCTTTTTATATCTGCAAAGGGCAAGGTTTCCGTACTTTTCATCTTCACATACTTTGGGGATGTAGGTAACAAGTACTTTGGGGATGTTTGCAAGGTGCGGTGGCAATGCTGCCATCACATTCTGACCTAAGCACCTAGTTTTCAGAAATCATTTTACAAACCCAACTCACATACACTCACCAGTTTATCCTTCTCAGGTAGCTGCTTCCACACTTCTGCCAGTTTTTTACTTAGCTCTCCAAAATCTGGCAGAAAGAAAGAAAGAAAAATGTTTTAAACAAATGAAATCATAAAATAATGGAGAGAACATATAAAATCTACTGGTCCAGGCATACACATTTAGGAAGCAACCTATTCCACAACTGTAACTCTCCACCCTGTCCTGAAAATTATTGCCAGTGTGCATTCCCATTACAGTTCAAAATGAAAAAAAACAGCTGATACTTGGAATATAAAGTCACACGTGTATACACAGGAACTCTTTCAGTAAAGACAGAGCAAGCTAGCAACTTCTTTATACAGATTCACAGCTTGGTTAAAATGCAATTAAATCAAATAATGAAATCCACTCCTGTTCCCTTTGCGACCTCTTATTCAAAGCAAATTGGCAGATTCTTTGCATTCTGTCAAAATTAAGAGGTTGGTATGAAACAGAGATGGTATGTTCTGCTAATTAATCCAACTGGTGTACAATCAAGAGAAGGCTAGATTATTCTCTCACCTATTCCAGGGTGCTCAGACACAATAGTTGTACGATATTCCTTACAAAAGACTTGATAGGCAGACATATTTTTCTTCTTTGGCTAGTCAGAAGAAGAAAAGGAAACAGATTTTTAATTATGATGAGACCTACTTGAATTTAATAAGAATTTGGCATTTATTGAAGACTTAAAGAAAGATGTGGTGCTTAGACCAGGAACCTAAAAAGGCCGTGCTTTACATATTCTGGCTGAATTTAGTGTTTATGAAAGCACAGGAACCAGCCAGAATCAGTCTTGGTACAAGGCTTATCTTGCAACAACTGTATCAATGCATTTCATTCATAAATTACAACAACCTGCTATTCTAAATCCAGGATTAACAGACAACTCTGTTGCTGTATCTCAGTTTTAAAACTTACAATAATAATAATAAAAAAAAAGGAGGTGTGTCATACTATTCACAGTACCTATTACAGATGTGTCAAAACAATTCAGTCCTCATCATAACGTTTTATTCTATTCCTTGCACCCTTACAAAACACTTCAAATTGGCAGGAAAACAGACAGTGTGAGTACACTGACAGCAGAGGCATAAGCAGTTGCTGCGCTATGATCAGAGTAAACTTACCAAATAGAACAGAATAATGGCTGAACAAATTTGGGCTACATCTGCCCATTTCCTGACACAAATCAACTCTTGTCTATCTGAGCATACACAAACTGCTTTTCTCCATTTACATACTTACACAGCTACAGTTATATCACCTGTAAACTCATGCATATGCTAGCTACCATTCCTCCTACTCATATTTTTGTAACTAACCATGGAAAACTGAATTTATGAGTACAGGACAAAAGTGGAAATGTGGTAGTGTGTAAGAATTAGAATTTAATTTGAATACATAAGGAAATGGGTAAGTATCTTCACTTTTCAGGTTAGAGCTTGATACTTCTTCTTCAGGAACTGTGATAATGGACTAGATCAGTTACCCAAAAGTCTGCCTGGCAATAGCTAGAACCGGTTACCTTAGCAAATGATGCAGTTATGCTTGGTACATAACCTGCACCGAGCAAATGAAGGATAACCTTTTCGAAGAACCTCTGTTGGCTAAAGACTGCTTGTGACACAAAACCAGAATGATATATATTTCTTTCTTCTACAAACAGAAATCAGAGTGGCTGACACATTTTTCCAAACACGCACCAGCAAAACCATCGATCCTGCTATTACTTCTCCTTGTTCCAATTTAACATGTCTCTGTAATGGACTGCCTAATTCACCATTACCCACCACCCCATTTCTATTTTCCCTCCAATTTTTCCTTACTTTTTCTCTTTCTCTTTCCTTTTCTCTTTCCTTTTCTTTTTCTCTTTCCTTTTCTTTTTCTCTTTCTTTTTCCTTTTCTCTTTCCTTTTCCTTTTCTCTTTCCTTCTCCTTTTCTCTTTCTTTTTCCTTTTCTCTTTCTTTTTCCTTTTCCTTTTCTCTTTCCTTTTCCTTTTCTCTTTCCTTTTCCTTTTCTCTTTCCTTTTCCTTTTCCCATTTCTCAGCTTTGTCCTTCTCCTTGTCTTCCTTTTTCCTCCTCTTCTCACCTTGACCATCTGAGTGAAAAACAGCAGGAGGAGGTGGAGAAAGAACATAGGGGGTACTGGGAGGAGGTGGTGGTGACACTGTTACTTCTGCTACTGCCACAGGAGTGTGCCCAGAACTCTTTTTAGACTTAGAGTGCTTCTTCTCTCTGTGTTTCTCCTTGTCTTTTTTTTTCTTACTTTTTTTTGACTTCTTCTTCTTCTTGATTTCCCGGTAGGAGTCATCTATCACTAGCTCTCCAGCCTCCAACTCCCCACCAGAAGAGGAACCAGATTCTGGCAGTGCCTCCATACCTGAAATCTCATACTCGCTCCCATGGCCCTCTGAAAAATGGGAGGTGTCAGCACCAAAACTCTCAGAAGATGGATGTGAGTCTGGAGGTGGTTTGTGCTTCTTCCGGGATGACTTCAGGAAGCTCTGAAGTTCATGACCCAGCAGGAATGAGCCTTGCTCATCTCGAGATGATTTCTTTGAAGATTTCTTTGCAGCTGCTGGTGCTGAAGAGTAGGAGAAAGAATCATCATCTGCTGCGCTACTTTTCTCTTTCGGTGAAAGGATGAGCTTCATCTTCAAGCCATCAGGTTCACGAAGAGTAAGTGTCTCTGTGTTCACGTAGAGAGGTTTCATTTTTTTAGATTTGTGAAAGCTGCCATCGTCCACTGAGTGCTCCCCACTGCTCCCACTCAGCTTCTTCTTGTGGTGCTCCTTCTTGCTCTCAGAATGGCCAGAGGAAGAATAAGATGATTTTTCAGATGTCTTCTTTGAAGACTTTGAGCTTGTGGCCAAAGGTGAGGTAATAGCCTTGAGTAAATCCATGGTTGTATCAGCTGAGGATGGGCTAGAAACTGCTTTTTTCTTCTTCTTTGATGGTAGATCCAAAGGCGTAACACCTGAAAAAGATCAAGAGCAATGTACATCAAGATGATTCCCTTCAAAGACAGCATTACATTAGTCCAGAGAAGTGAAGTGGGAATCCTGCAAGACTTGATTACAGCTAATAGATTTACATCCTGGCTGAAACAGAATCTCTCTGAAGCTTGTAGCCAGCTCAGTGCTGCCTTACTGATACAATACAGGAGCTGTAACGCCTGAGCTGGTAAAATAATTTAAGGCAGGAAGATAGAATAGGAACATTCTTGAAGTTTTGCCAAACTCTGTATTATATCGTGAAATAACATATTTTGATGAAAATATATCTTATCGAATCTGAGATAACATCTCAAGTGCAAGGTTTTAGTGCCATTTTTTAGCCGAGACCAATGAATTTAAAACACAAGCTTTTTCATTCTGAAAACAGATTTTCACGAAATTTTAGCTTGGCTTTATCTTTTCCTTGGGCCAAAAATAAACCTTAAACTTCTTAAGCTTTTATGAACAGAGTTGCCATTTTCTGGCCATCTTATTAATTTTGAGAATAATGTTTCTGTATTTAAGCTGAACCCAAAAGCATTTATTTTTCACCCTGATGCAACCTATTTTTATAAATTCAGAGCAAGTAATACTATCTGCGAGTAAAATTAGAAGCTGCAATGCAATAGGAAAAAAAAGATGCAAATACCAAAAGGTAAGGCAGAAGATCTCTAGCCCCAGCAATGGCAACTTTTTAAGTTAGACTCTGAAAATATCACTCCCTAATCTTCTGCTGTCTGGTGCTGATCAGCATCGGGTTTCTGATTACTTGTCCTAAAACACGTTGATGTACTCTCCTCCCATAAAGTGCTAACCACAAAGCTTGATGATACTGGTTTAACAGCATCCTTTCCTCGAAGTCATAATCTGTTAGCCCCTTCCCCTGCTTGATTAGTATCCTACCTCTGTAGCAGAACTCATCGGAGGAGTGCTTTCTCTTCTTTTTGTGAGGTTCTGTCCCTGGAAAAAGCTCACTGTCCTAGAATAAGAACAAAAAAGGTTGCTGACAAAGAAGAGGGGATTAATATGAGATTCACATGGACTCCTGACATAGATAATAATTTGGAGGAGATATCAGGAGTTATTTGTACTACTAGGAATCCTAGGTAGGAACATCAATGAACCCTAGGTATGAACGAGGGTCATTATTCTAGGTGCTAAAACAAGTAAAGAAAACATACTCTGTCCCCAAGAACCCACAGTGTAGGTTTAAGGTAAGAGACCAAAAGCATGGTACGGATAGGTGGGAGAATACAAAAAATGGTATTAGTCAGGACTGGTTTTAGCACATCAGCCACCTAACTGGCATCAAGCTTTCTGTAGGCATTGCAGCACGACAGGGCTATAAAGAAATTGAAAGACAGATCTCTATAGGGAGCTCCCCCCAGTGAAAGGAGCAATACACAAGAAAACTTGAAAGAGCACATCTGAAAGTGTTAAGAAATGGGCAATGAAAGCCAGCACTTGGAGATCAGCTGATGAGTTGATAAAAGACAGACATCTACCTCTTAATAACGCTAAGAAATATCTAAGCATGCATAGGCTGGTCAAGCCTTGAAAATGAAGGTGAGCAGTTCATGTTTAATATGCTGAAAAAGATAAAAGTGAAAAGAGGTACAGAGAGGTGACAATCAAAACAATGGGCCAAAAAATTGTCCTTAATATGTCATGTCACCCAATTATTATTTGTCTCTTGACCAATTTATGGTCTGAAAATGAAACTCCTCTACAGAATTCCATCTGCATGGTAGAAGAAGATTTTCATTTTAAACTAGAACTTCTTTTTCAGATTAAAAAACAAAATAATCACAAAATAGTCACCTTTGAGCTAACAGCAGAAATTTTAGCTCAAAGAGGAAAGTTTTGAAGAAACTTAAGTTGTCACTACATGATTTCAGAGTTAAGGCCCCAAAGAGGTGAACAGGGCAAGTTCATACCTCTCAAGAGCTACCGTTTCAGGCTGTCTGCAGAATCAGGAAGACAACAGCGCATCAGTTAACATTATATTCATCTTTTACCGGCTATTTATACAACCATAATTTGTGTGTGTGTGTGTGTGTGTGTGTGTAAAAAGTTATTCATTCTATCTTATGACTTGCAAGGTTCTACATCAACACTAGGACAGCATCCTACTACCCTATTTTCTGAGGTCAGAAAAATTCGAATCAGTTTTAATTGGGTTTGACCCCCTTCTTTTCCCCAGGAAAGTTACTGAACAATAGAGGACACAATTAGCTGTTCTTGCTGTCTTCTACATGCATTTCTATATAAAAAAGAACAACAAACCTATTCATCCTATTCCATCACTAGCTTTACACATATCCTTACACCTTCAACCTTTCCTCTGAGGGTTTCCTGACCTGAGTTGCTATCTCGTCTTCTTCTGGCAGCAGATCCTTGTAGGAGCGCTTTTTCTCTCGCTGTATCCTGCCAGTTGCCAGCCCCACGTCATCGATACTTCGGTCACTCTCTAGGAACTCTAAGATTTATGTGAAATGGGAAAGAAGGAAGAAATTAAATACCCCATTAAGCAATGATAGACATGTGGACTATGCACAAAATAATACAGCAGCGGACGTTGGCACATGGTGATGCACAAAACCCAACAAGCACAGGGACCTAAAAGATAACAATCTGTACTCTCTGATCACAGGGATGGAGCACAGTGTGCTAACGCTATAACACAATCACTCAAGATTTCATTTTTAACCCTTGTATACTTCTTCCTAAAGACAACTGGACCGAGAAATGTTACCATGAGTACACATATCCTTATCACTGGTCTCCCGTTCCATTGACCTGGCAGGGAGAAGAAAGGCTGCAGTGGCAGAGTTTCCAATCAAGGTGTTTGCATTATGAAATACCACCCATTTCTCTCAAGTTCCAATCCCAGTGCTTTACACCTGGAAGTCAAGGGCTTGGGATCCTCCAGCAACTTGGCCAGGTTAAATTTAAGGGCTCCACAGCATACTAGCTTCCTTTCCCACTCTGACTGCATGGCCTGGCAAGGGCTACAGAGGGTACCCTTTTTTTTTTGGCAATTCCCTCTGAGATTATGAAGCAGTCATACCTTCTTTCTTCTTGGAGTCATCATAAGCCATGGTGGTCCTGCAGGAGCCTGAGAATGTGTTGCCACGTTCCTTCCCCCGTTCCCATCTACAGGAAAAGGTCTGAGAAACAGAGAATGAAAATAACCCTCCCATAAAGAAGAATCATGATGTAAAATGGGAAACTTCCTCTGAACCAAGTGAAGATTCTCTGGAAGACAGTGGGAAAGGAAAGGAGTCTACCTCCTGGTTGGTTCATGCTCACTCTTCAGGCTTGACAGAATTTTTTTTTCAATTAAATTGGAGGTTGTTCTATTATTTTAAAGATATAAAAGACCACCTATTCGTTCTAAAATCTGCAAATCACTGAAGTAATTTATTTAGAAAAATAGAAAGAGATGAGAAGACAGCTGAGTTTTGATTTTCATGCCACACAAAACTGCACCCAAACTTGTGTCAAAGCCATTTTTTGTCAGGAGCCACCATAGCAAAGAGCAGGATGTTTAGAGATTTCAAACCCTTGAATCTCAGATGAAGTGAAGGACAAGAAAGAATCAGGCAGAAATCACGGTACCACAAAAGAATTATTTCACATCTTTTTAACTAAAGGATTGCACATTTTGTAGTGTAGGTGTACATCCTTCTGATGTGTTTCCCAACACTACCACTGCAGCCATTCTGAATGCCAGCCTGGGAGAGGGAATGGAAGAAAGCACTCCTTTTCACTAGACCTTCCGCAGCACCCCAACCCTGCCAGCCCCCAGGTTCAGGCCTCCTCTAACTGAGTCATTCTGTTCCACAGCTGCTGGCATATAGCAGGACTCTGCCCTTATAGAATAGCTGCACTCTGGTTCTCTCAGAGTAAACAGCTTTTGCTCTTCAGTCAGTGACCAGCTTAACATGAAAAGATCAACCTGCTGCTCTTAAGTGATTAAACCAATTGCATCTAATCAATTTTGTGTGTTTGTGTGTGTGCACACATGTGTAAGCGTTCAACCACAAAGGCCATGCAGCTTGCTCACCCTAGTGTCACAGTAATCTTGCCACACTGAAGTTACATTTGAATGACTTGAGAACAGGGAACTCGTGCTTGTACATCCCTGCACGTACCTCAGTTTTATAAATAACTGGCTGAGGCTGAGAGCATCCAACATACTCATCCTACAGTGGTTACTTAAGTGAAACAACAAAGTCCCAGTTCAATCAAGTTTGCAGGTATACAGGAAATGCTTCTGTTTAAATTCATAGGAATACATGTTATTTCTTCAGGTTTTGGGAAACTATCCGCCACAAAATGTTTTAAGCCAGTATTCTGACCACTATACATTGTTAGTAGTAAGCACAGCAATTTGTAGACAGAATTTATTTATTGTCAGCCCCTTGTCATTAACACTTTGGTCACTCTCTAGGAACTCTTAAGATTTGCGTGAAATGGGAAAAAAATTGAAAGAAATACCCACAAGAGCACCACATATGTATATGCACTAGAGCACTGCACTTAGTAGTAAAAAAGAGCATCTTGCCACTCGTGGGATCACAATCTTGAAAGAGATCTTGTCAACATTTCGTGATGTTCAGTTGTCATACGAGTGTCAGTGGGAACACACATGATACTAAAGCATTGTGCTCGAGAGGATAAGGGCCTAATCTAGATACTGCTCAGCAAAACTAACCAGAAGACAGTCATTTATGAACACATGACTTGGAGAAACTAAGATTTGTTTATAGCTGCATGCACACTATTTGCTCTCTTTTAAAATCTCATCTGCTTGGCAGGTGTAAAGGCTGGTAGATAACATACAGAGGGCCTTATAACCTAGGCCTCTAACCCTGCAAACGCAAAATATATCCTTAACTAGTCTCATCCTATAAATCTCAATTAGGTTGCCCTGCTCCATTCTTCAGCCTCAGCAATAACCGCACAGCTTCAGCGGAGAGGATTTCTCTTCACGTCTCCCGTTCCTCAACGCACGCGCTTGCGAGATCAAGGCCAAGCGTTGCTTTTCCGCGGCGCCCCCGGACTCCGGTCCCCCGCCGGGAGGCTGCTGCACGCCCCACTGGGCCGCGGTGCGTGGGGGGAAGCTGAGGGGCGGCGGCGGCGGCGGCTCGGGCCGGGCTCCCTCGTCTCATTTCCCGCCGGCGCTCCCAGCGACCTGGCGGAGCCGTGGAGGGCGCGGGGGCAGGCGGGCCCCGCGCAGGCGGCAAACGGCGGCACCGGCCCCGCCGCGGACACGGCACCGGGACCACAACCGGGCCCGAGCCCGCCCCGCGCCCCCCCGGGGCAACCCGCGGCCCAGCCCCGCGCATGCGCGCCGGCACCCTCAGGGTCCGGGCTCCGCCGCCGCCGCCCCGCTCCCGCCCGCACGCCCTCTCACCCGCGCGGGCTCCGGCCTCACTCCAGCCCGCGGCTCCACCCCTGCAGCAGGCCCGAGCACGCCCCGGGCCGGTGCCGAGACGCGGGGCCGGGGGGGGGGGGCGGGAAGGCGCCGCGGCCGCCTCACTCTGCACTGCCGCTTCTCACCGCGCCGCCGCCTGCGGCCGCCATCTTGAAGAGGGAGACAAGGGACACCCAGCCAGGGACAGCCAGCCGAGCGCCGAGCACCTCCAACGCCGGCAGCCGCGGGGCGGGAACAAAGGCGGGGATCGCCGAGCGCATCGATGGCCCGGCCGGGCGGGGAGCGCCGTTCGCTGGGGGTACAGCAGCCCCGCACCGGGCGACACGGCTTTGGGGCGAGAACCCCAAGGCGGCATTTAGCCTTCCCCGCCACGGCCCGCGGGTGGGGTTCGGAATACCGTCTTAGCCTGCGGCCTCCTGCCCCTCGCCCTCCCGCTGCAAGCGTAAGTCCCCAGGGCCGGGGCCAGAGCGAGGGGCCACAGCGCGCTGCTGCTGGCCCCGGGGGGCCGGGCACCCCAGCGTGGTTCCCCGGGGGCTGTTGTGCCCCCTTAGGGGCGTGGGAGCCACGAGTGGGCCCCACGCAGGGCTCGGCCCCGGCTCTGCCCCTGACCACCTCGTGCAGAGCGTGTGGCTACCGCCCCCTCTGCTGCGGCACAGCCTCCTCGCTGTGTGCGTGGGGCTGCGCTGCCGTGGCACAGCTTCCCATCTCTCATCATCCCTGCCCTTAGCAGGCGGGTCCCTGAGCCGGCTGGGCTGGCAGCGTGGGTTAGTTGTTGGTGGGTCAATGGGGAAGGGTGAAATCCTGTTATTAAGCAGTGACAGAGCCAGCACTTCCATGAGGTTAGTCACAGAGGCACATCTGTAAGCCTCCCCGACTGCCTGAGGAACCGCGTGGATGCACGGGACGGGGGGAGAGTTGGGGCCAGCCCGAGCCAAGATCAGCACGTCGGAACAGCACACTCGGGGCTACTGCCTGTGGAGGCATAATGCAACCCTCACACCCTTTCCAATCAACTGTCCAAAGGTGGCAAGCAAGAGAAAGGCAAATTACCCCCCAGCATCTTCTAAAGGGCTTATTCATTACTGCAAAGGATTCGAGACAAAGCTCAAGAAACAACCTGGTCAGAAAAGTCTTTTTCCCCACCAGGTTAGCCTTTCTTCGCTCTGACCGCTTGGGAGGTCCCTGTTTAACAAACCTCATTGAACTTACCTTAAATTCCATCATCTCCACTGATGCAGGAGTTTTCTGTTTATTTAGATGCCGGCAGACACTCACAGGACTCTTTGTCAGAGGCTGCTCATAGTCACATGCTGGCTGAAGACTACAATTCCCAGCCATGCCTGAGGTTAAACCTGACCCATCACAGACATGCTGGTTCCCCAGCACTTACACATCTGCCTTCTGGTCCCGATGATGCTTTTGTGTCCTAACAAGTACATAATGATGGCAGTAATTATTTGCAGTACAGGAGGGCCTAGAGGAATTAGAAGAGGCTAGAGGCCTGTGCCTGTTATGCTGTGTGCAAGTGGAGTTTGATCTAAAGTGAGGGGCACAGCCGCTATGCATAGATCAATGTCTGCAAGTGCAGCAGCTGTAGCACATCAGAGTAGAAACCCACCAGCCCTTAGGCTCAGCACAAGGCCTATGCAGATGTTCTTACACATGTACACATGTGTGCCTGCTGCTGGCGAATCTCTAAAGTCACTCCTTGATCCCCAGCTGATAACCCAGGGGGGAGTTACGCAGGTGGACAAGTGCCTCTGTAAATTTATGACCAGGACCTTGCCAGAGTTGTACCCACCAAGATCTGCTCTTTACCTCCTGACTACTGATGATGTTTCTAGGGGTCCCAGCGATGGATCTGTACCCCATTCAGCAATGCGCAGTACAACAAAAACACAACTTCTGTCACCAGTCATCAGCTTTCTTGCTCGTGTTATGGACTGCATGGAAACATCAGTTAACTCCCGGGGGTGCTTCGCCTATGAGTCAGGTGGGGCCAGAATGGGAGCAAGTCAGAATAAACCATTAGCATGGTTGGGAGAGTCTAGGTGCAGCCTGAAGGAACAGGGATACAGACTGCTTTGAAAATTGAAAGCCTAAATTAGCCTGGTATTCAATGTTGGCAAGTGTTTGATAATGATAGCTAGTAAACGTGTAGGGATGGTACGTTTAATATTCTGCACCCTAGAATGAGAAAGGATTCTATCTCCCCTGCAGTTTAATGTTTTTAGTGCTGGGTGGTTTGTAGGTATTAGATTGTGTTAGTGATTGTGTGTGGAGGAGAAAGAATGAATTTGCAGGTGAATTTGCAAAAATGAGCATATAGCAGGATACTTGCACATAAAGCCACTGAAGCACCAATCATTCAGACTTCCCCTGGTGAGATCTATCCATGCTCCTTTCCTCCCACAGAACAATCATAATAATAATAATAGTAATTGTAATAGTAACAACATATAGTCCCTCCTACTGCACTTTTCATCAGTGCAGAAATGCTCAGAAAAACTCATTTCAATCATTCTCATTCTTTAGAGCTAATAAAGGGAACCAGCCAGCACAAACAACTGGCATTTATTGTGTGCTTTCAACTAACTTAGCCTTTTCCTTTTCTGGAAAAATCCAGGGATGCCTCTAGAGTGTACACCTAGATTATACAGGTCAGGTGGGGAGAATGTCAGGATGCTGATAGCAAATTTAAGAGAGTCACAATCCCTTCAAATCCTTAACATCTGACAGAAATGTTTCTTTCTACTCTTGAATGTAAGAGGTCATAGTGAGGGAATCAGAAAATCAAACAGTCCCTATAGTTTTTAAGACCTGAAGTGCAGCTTCAGTCAGTCTCAGACTATTGTGAGAATATTGCTTACTCCTTTTGTTCAGAGCATCTTACATTCTTTTACCTACATGCCACTGAGAGAAACTGCAAAAGGGTACGTGGTGTGTTTTCTCAGGGCTCTTCTTGTCAGTGAGATACATATTGTATGAAATGCTCTTGCCAGTGCAGAATGTTTTAGAAAGCATGTATACTTCCTTATGCTTAATGCAAGATTAGTTGTGTGCTAAGGGCTTACTGCCCATGAAGCCACCCAGGAGTTTTGCTTTCCCCACATTGTATCTAACATCAACCCTTTTCTGCCTATTTTCTCCTGCCTGCACTAAGGTGCAAGTTTCTAGATTTAGTAGCCCCCTTTTTGTTTCATTGTTTCTTAGTGCTTAGTTCAGTGGGGTCTGAGCTGCAGTGAATATAAGAGGAGTTAATAGTAACATGAGCACCAGCCCACAACCAAGTTATATACAGAATTAAATACAACACTCAGAGGTATATGAACAATTATTTCTCCCTGTCATAGTCTGCAACTCACAAATCTCTTTTCACTCCTGTCCCATTTTCCCATAATTTTTGCCTAGATTCCAAGATGATTTCATGTTAACTGGAATAAGACCTGGATTAAAACCTCTGATCCCCACCTATCCATGAAAAAACTGCTTTGTTTTGCACAGACAATGCTACTCTTTTTTTTGTGCACGCTACAACCCTTGTATGTTACTAGCTACCAAGCTGCCCTTAAAAAGGAAGAATGGCTTGTTACATTTGGATAGGTTCTATGAAAAATAAATATATTTTTAAAGGCTAATGGCTATGAATATGGAGGGAGTAACCACAATGTTACAGTGGACTTTAGGTGAAATGGACCTTGCATGCCAATTACCTCAGCCATATAATTTCCTTAGTCTTATTTGTAAACAAGGCTAGTGAGTCCTGGTTGAATACAAGGACTTGCTTCCTTAGAGTAGCAAAACTTCAAAAGATTTGTTATGTGCTTTGTTTCAGTGTTGGGGATTTACTTAAATTACTTCCCATTTGCCTTTTTTTTTTTTTTTTTTTTTTTGCAGGATGCATTCATTTTCTTGTCTCTTCATCTGGGAACACAGTCGTTAATGAAGCCATAAGGGTGTGTGCATTCATTCGTAATGTCAATACAACAGCCTGAATGTTCCCCAGAGCCACAGCATCTGTCATGATGGGGATACACCTTCTCCCCCTGCTCTTAGTGCTGCATCCTCTGTATTCACATGCTGAGAGACATAAGGTGAGGTGGGAGGACAGCGTCCTTGTCCATCTGGTGGGAAAACAGTACCATGTGTTACAGCAGCATTAGTGGGGTCCAGAGAGAAAGAGCATGCTCGTGGATGTAGTTAGGCAAAGGGAAAGGGACGGGCCCAGGGTGATATGCATAGAGGAAAGTCTAAATGCAGACAATCAGCATCAGATTTGCCTCTTTTCAGTGATTTTGTTCTCCTCCTCATCACCTGCCAGGGAGGTAGAACTGGTTTAATCTGAGTATCACGGAGCCATACAAGACCTATGCCACAGCTTTCAGTGCCCAGCTCTCCCTCTGTGCCGGCTCCCCGGGGACCTTGCTGGTCTCTGATGACCATAATTCCTCACAACCCTGGTCCCATAAAACTTCAGGCATTCAGCCCTTGGATCTGGCAATTTATTTTATTTCCTCCTTGCATACCTTGATTCTCTCCATTACAGCCCTCTTCTGTACAAGCCAGACTGACCTGCTCCTCTTTTTAGACAGAGTGGCATGATCCTTCACCTGTATGAAAAAGCCTGTAACTCTGGGCTGCTTCATTCCTGCAGTTTTCTGTTTATGGCGGAACCGCTGCTTCAGCATCTGTCCCACACTGCGTAGCAGAAATTATTATATTGCTAAAATTTCTCTTCAAATAATGGAGATGGGTCATCATGGCTGATTCTGTGGACCAAGCCTGCATGTTGAGGGTGCTTCTGGCTACAGATGTCGTAGCTGGAGATCAGAACTTTTGGGAAAAGCAGAAGACTCCACTGTTCCCTGAACAGCTGCCAAGTGTCATCAGAGTTTGCAGAGGCTGGCAACAGGGCAATGCTGCCTGCAAAACTCCTGAGATGCCAGCTGGGCTAATGCCAACCTCATGACTGTGATGTGCCGTGATCTATGGAGCTGCTGCAAAAATAAGGGCAAGAGGTGACATGTGGAAAGGGCTCCAGACTCCCAAAGTTTGGAGGCATGGCAAGGGCAGTAAGAAGATGTATTGGTGTTGGGACCGGGTGAGGAAGAACAAAAGGTGCCTTGTACACCCACATGCATTGCGGAGTGCTATGTGTTGCGGGGAAATCGGTGGTGTTGCAGGACATTTTCTATGTTGCAGCTGTTTACACAGCAGGTAATTTGCAATGCTTTCAGGATCATGGGACCAGAGGAGATGATCTGGGTCATCACGTGCTGTTCCCTGCTACCGCTGGCCCACTGTCATTCAATCCCTATTGTAAACCGATCGGTCTTTATCTTAAAAGCAATCAAGTCTCATCCCCCAGCAACGTTTGCTGGGAGGCTGTTCCAGAATCTCCTTCCTCTGATGGTTAGAAACTGTCTCCTGATTACCAGCCTAAATGTATTCATGGTTAGCTTGCATCCATTTGTTCCTGTGCCAACATTTTCTTTTCGCTAATATAATTATTGTCTCTTGTTGCTGTTTTAGCTCTGATGTATTTATAGAGAGCCGTCATACCTCCTCTCAGTTCTCAGTTTGCTAGGCTAAACAAGGCATGCTCTCCTAGTTCCCTCCTAGCTGGTGGCCTCCTCCTTCCCCTCCCCACTCCAGCAGCCTTGCTTGCCTGAATTCTTCCCTGAAGCTAGGTGACTGGTAATGGGCACAATTTGCTCACCAAGGTCTTATACGCTGAGGCTAATACTTCCCTCTCTCTAGAGGGAATACTTATATTTTTTTGGTGAGAATAGAAGAGTATTTTCTTAAAACCTTTGGATACAACTTGCTGATTAGATGTTAAAAAAAACAGAAAGAGCCAGTCTGCATTATAATTTCCCCTGTAGTCACAGGGGGGATATGGCAAACAAGGAACATAATACAGCTTCTTCCCGTCCTTTTGGGGACAAGGACAGAGCCTGCTCAGATAGCTCTAGGTTTACTCTGCGACTGCAGCATATGTGATGTGGAGGAGGGACCGTTGTCTCAAGTAGGCAGCACTCTGATATTGCCTTTTAGGGTGGGTCACCACCAGCCCACTGGAGGCTTAGGGGTGCTGGTCATGGGAGGCCTGGAGCCGACCTTCATCTTGCGTTGTTTCTCCAACATGCCCTAGCTAATGCAGGGCTGCACTATCTTTCTTCTCTTCTTTCTCCGTTTTCCTCCCTACATTACTTTTTTCTCCTGATAGGGTGTCAGTGGATGCTGAAGATGCAGCTATGACCCTTTTCCTGCTTAAATGCAGATACCCCTTTTACCACTCTCCATGAACTGGTCAGCGGCCTGTTTGACCCACATCTCTCTGAGGTGATACTGGATTTATATTTAGATGAGTGCCAGTTTTAACTGTGTTAAGTAAAAATTAACTGTTTGCTACATTGTGCCAGACAGATCACAAGACCTGTAGCATTTGTAGATAGAATACAGGATGAAATTACAGAAGTAGGAACATGGGGGATGGTTATAACATTTATTAGAGAGAGGATATTTATCCTGGTCATTTGGCTTATGTGCGCAGGGGCACACATCATGGTGGAAAAACCTGGGAGTGCTGAGACTTTCTGGGAATCATCACTCAAAGGAAAGAGAAACTGTACTACATGGAGCCATCAACCCACCTTTCCCCAGCTATCTAAAAGCAACTTGGCCTTGAGGTAAATATAGCTGGTCAGGGATGCAGTGACTTTTTGTGTGGTTGCACTAGTGTTTGCTCACAAACAAGCCTCACCTCTCACGAGCTGAAGTAAATACTAACTCAAGCTCACATTTCTGGGCTACAGGAGAACCTAAAAATAAGGACCTGTGGCATTGTGACATGGTACAAGAGAACTATCTATCTAACTGTGAAGTCTGGAGTCTGGACCATGACTGAGCTAGTGCTGGTAAAGATGTAGGTGTGGTAGGCCTCTAAAATTAATTTTAACAATAATTTGTACCAAGTAGACAGAGTAGTCATAAAGTTGAGCTTAATTTTTTTGTGTGAAGGCAGTATTGTTCTGAAGTGTAAGTAAAAACATGGGGTAAACTTGCAATGAGAACATTTTTTGTGCAGTCCATGTCAAAACCCCATAGAAGTTGAGGTGCTCTGAGATGAATCAGAGTAGAAGCTCACTCAGCTCATAGCTCACTCTAACCATGCAACAATATTTTTAAATTTCTTCTTTTCTTCCTTTAATTGCTGTCCAGTTGGAAGTTGATGGTTTTCAACATTGTCTGGGGATGCTGAAGCTGTGGCGACCTGAGGAGCAGTTTTGACCAGGCTCCCAGTGATCCTCAAATCCTTACCATGTGCCTGGGACGTGTACTGATCAGTTGTACACTATAGAAGGGAGGATAAATTGTTCCCTCAAGAAGTGCTGGTCCCAAATAAGGCACACAGGTATGCATGCCTCACATTTATTTTGGTGAGAAACCTGAGGAAGAATTTGATGTTTTGTAGTTAAGGTTTCAGACTGGGGGAGTCCCAGACAAGAAAAAAAGGCTGTTGTTCGTTTCTGTGAAGGATATAATACTTAGTGTACTTACGTAGAGAGAAGTAGAGAGATTGTATCAGTGTACACCCCAGTCATAACTTATTTCTCTTTTTAACAGTACCAGCCTGCTAAGGCTATTGAATATCGGTGCTGCACTTGGATCACAGAAAGAATGGGATGTTTTATGGTCTTAGATTCAGTTCACGGTTAAATGTCTCAGGTAATGGAAGCTTTTACCACATCACTTGAGAGACCATTGTATTGTCTACTAGATTTCATAAGCAAGGAGTTTTTTATTTAGTTGAGCTGCTTGCTTTTTCTGAGGAAATAAATGACCAAATAAAAAGCAAATCTGAAAACCTCCCCCACTGAGTCTATTTCAGTTGTTGCTGTTTTCTTCACATTTTCCTCCTTGAAATGCATTAGTTTCCAGTTGAAGGAACCTGAAGAAAAGATGATTATTACCAAGAAATTTGCAAATTAGTGCAGCTCAAAACACCCCCACAGCAGTGTTCTAGTAAAATGAGTGAGGCTGGGCTAAAACCTCTATATATTTATTTGGATCATTCTATATTTGGATTTAGCAATCCTATTACCAAGCTGAAATTTAGGACTCTTTAGATACATCTGTCCTGGAAATAGCACTGCTAAATTATAAGCTCTGATAGGTGGGAGGATGAGTGTCTAAGATCAAACAAGGAGAAAAGCAACAGACATTCTTCCTTTTCTATTAAGTGCGTTTGCATATTTTCAGCACATTCAGCAAATGAATAGTTTCTGTGTATGGACAAAATTAGTGGTTAAAGAGAAGCAAAATGCACCAAGTATGGGATGTGGGATGTTGCAGTGCTATTATACAAATCGATGCTATGCCTACAGCAGGAGTTTTCAGTTCAATTTAGATCACCTCCAAAGGAGGAGAGGAGGGCGTCTGAGTCAGACCACCAGGATGAGTCTGTGCATGGAAAACTCCCATATAGAGAAAGATTGAAATGTTAGCGAAGAGATGAAGAGAAGGGATGGGAAATGTATGCCATATAAGGTACAGTGCAGGAGAAGATGTGACCACTAAACACTATTTTTTATGAAACAAGAAGAAAGGAGAGTTTAGTGGATAGAAAAAAAGACTGGTAAAAGGAAGCGTTCTTCCATATGACAAAAGGAGGCAGTGGAAATCCCTGCTTTCATGTTTCTTGGAGTCCAGGAGCGCAGCTTTAAACAAGGGTGGAAATTTCTGTGTTAACTCTAGTGTAATTACTGTAGTTGCAAATGCATTTTTATTTAAACATTGCTATTCTGGAGACCAGAGCCCTGCCATGTTCCAGAACAGAAGTCAAATTTGGATTCTGAGAACTTGTCAAGAAATGCTTCTGGGAGACAAATGATCACATAAATGTCAACTGAAGCATTTCTTAAATGTTCCTGCTCCAGTCATTGCCAGCAATAATGTCTCAGCAATATCTTTTGGGCTGAATGTGGATCTACACAACATTATGTTCATTATGTTCTGAAGACATCCAGCACTGAATTTTTCACCGTATTCCTCTCTTTACCACAGCTAAATTCGCAGTTTATGTACATATTATCCTGTGCTGCTAAGCTAGCGCTACCTGCCAAGATTTACAGCATCTTTCCTTAAGCTCATATGGCTACAAAAAATCACCAGATGGCAGCAGAGTCATTTCTGGTCTCCTCTTGCCCTGAACTGGTCACAGCTGCATGCTCTGGCGTGCTCCTTGTAGCCACAGTTCCCAGCTTTGCTGGGTATGCAAAGGGAGCTATACCTACTGAGAAAGTACTTGTCTCCTCATCAGCAAGAGATTTATTTTCTCCGTTTGGTGCCTCCACAATGTCTGGGTTTTAAGGGATGATATTCTCACTTTTTTTTTTTTTTTTTTTTTTTTTTTTTTTTTTCCCTCCAGATTCCTCGTTTTTCTCCAGAATTGTCCCAATATGTAGCTTGCAGACACTGATATATACACATGCACATGGTGTGTTCTTATGGTATGTTATATGCTGCCAAGGTAATGCAAAGTAACTAACTTAGCTTTGGCTAAGAGCAGAGACTGTTTCTGGAACCAGCAGAGGTTGACTTCATGGTTCAGGGATGAAACTGGGTAGTAGGAATCTTGTTAGTGGTGCTATTTGCTCTTCACCATTGTGATCAGTTTTGCTCGATAAATGCTGAAAGCAAAATGCTAAGAGGAGAGAAATACCCTGAAGGACTGCAAAATTCAGAATAATTTTGGTCTGGGACAATCCTCAAGTTTCCCAATTCTGGAATTTCCCATAAAAAGGAATAATTCCCAGGCAGTCTCCCAGCTACACCCATTAGACACTGAGGCTCCATAGCATCTTGATGGATGGATGCACAGACAGGAAAGCAGCTTGGCTGGTGATGTCAGTGTTGTTTTGCCTGCTTTCCCAAGAAACCTCACTGAACTTGAGCAGTCTCCAGGAACCATTCAGATGTCAGTGCCAAAACCAGGAGAAAGTTTTATCTGGTAGTCGGAATATGGACTCTCTCGGTCCAATAGCTCCTTCCCTGCCTGCTTCAATGACAAGCTGAGCTCTAGGGTGGGGGGAAGAGGGAAAGGTTATTTTAATTCTTCTGGCTTGCTTCTTTTAACAAAGAAAACAAAAAAAAAACCAACCCACACTTTTATTCCTCCTAGAAGAGCTCCTTTCAACTGAGTTTTAGGTCTGGAAATGGATCAAGGCAACTGTGTTCAAACCTACTGGAAAGGACATGGCTCTTGTCATAGATTTCAAAACCACTTTTACCAAACTCCTGCAAAATCATAAATGCTGCTGTGCTCAGCAAAAGGCAGATGAAGGCTTCTAAACTCAGGGTTATCAAACACTTTCCTGAATAGAGACTTCCAAGGTCACCTCCTACGTAACCTGTGAAATTGCTGATTTTTTTTTTTTTAATTGATACTGGGGATTGGTGCGTCTGGAAACTTTCACAAGACTAAGGACTTAATTCTTATTCCTACAGGTGTCCCTATTACAATTTGGTGGTTGAAAGAATCTCCAAAATTGGTGATATTCCACCCATTTTTAAGGCCTTTTTACATGGCCAGAGTTGTGGAAAGGTAGTAAGTAGGAAAGGAGACAAGTTTATGTATTTGCACACCCAGACACTCACACATTTAGGGCTGCAGACTTTCACTTCCTCATTCTCCCTCCTACTTAACTTTCTCCGTGCTGTGCTCCAGCAGGAATTGAAAGTTTGAAATAGACTTAAAGCAAAAATACATGCTCTCTTTTATTATGAGCATATTTCAAGGGGAAAATGGATTATACTTTTATTGGACTGAATGCGTTCAATTGCAGCAACTTTTATTATTTTGAAACAAAGTTCTGTTATTCAAACAAAAGGCTAAGTGTTACCCACCATGCCAACTCTAAGCATTTTCCTATAGCTCATTTTTAAAATAGCCTTTAGGATTTACTTGACTAAATCAAACCTCAGGAAGGAGAAGCTTGTGGAGGGAAAATCACTGCATTAGAGGTGATAAAATGAGAAATGAGAGAGACAAACATCAGTGCAAACTCATCAGCATCAGAATAAACTCAGAAATAGACATTCTACATTTCCATAATGCTGTCAGCTGCCACTACAGAGACAGGGATCTATTACCTCTGTTTATACTGCTGCTAACTTAATTTATAGCAATTTATTCTATGAAAGTAGACAGTAACTTGACTGGCTGGGAAAAAAAATCCCTTTTGTACTGAAAATAAAAATGATAATGCACATAATAGATTTCTGAAAGTAATTTGAATGGCCAGTTAAAACGCAAGGTGAGTTAGATGTATTTTTAGTAAATCTCAGCACGAATTACCTACTTTCATATGCGCATTTGTAGATGGATCGATAAAGGGCAGATATGGGACATTTACTTAGTAAGATTGGATGGGCCCAGGTTAGCTCACCATTTGCAGGCTTCTTTATTTTGCTGGGGTTACATGAGAGGAGGAGGCGAGAGCAGAAGTGGGCACAATGCCCTGAGGGCTGAAATCAGGTGCCTTTTCATGATCAGCATTGTGAGAAAATGATCTGATACAACTTTGTCCCGGCAAAAATGAGCAGCTCATGTCATTTCTGTCCAGATGGCGGAGAAGATAAGAAGCACCAAGCTTTCCACAGCTTTCAGTCTAAGGTGTCCGTGAGATATTTTGCAGGCAGACATCAGTATGTTCTGCTTTTGCTCCAAACCAGCTGACACAAGCCCTAAACTGGGGGTGTGTGCTAATGCCCATCCCTCGGTGCGGTATCTTAGCTCAGTCTCAGCCCTGTGCTCACCACCACTGCTCCATGTTGGCTCTGAAGCTGATTGCATCCTGTTAGATTGGCTCCAGAACAAGTTAGCATTGGTTGGCAAGACACTATGAAGACATAGCTGGAGACGCTGGGATCTCAGCCCTTTGGGTGAGATTGCATCCCAGCTTGTTAAAGCCCATGGCCTGGTTCAATCAGACCTGTTCTGCTCTCAGGCAGTTGTCCTCGCTCTCTTCATTCCCCGAGCAGCAGTCTGGGCCTTCTCCATAGCAAACAAGCCTCTTGGTGACAAGCTTGCTCTCCTTAAGTACCTTTCAGGCCCCTTAGAAGTAGTACATGAGCCTCCAGGGGCCCATAAACCAGAGGCAGAAAAGCATGGCTCTGGAAAGTCTGAAGGATATAATCATCAGCCTACAGGTAAACATGTGCTTAAATGCTTTGCTGATCAGAGATGGACTGCTGAACTGGGGCCTTGGGAGCTGCTGTGTGACCACAGTTATTCCCTTTACAACAAGAAGTTGATCTTCAAATTGAGGTGGAACATTTTTCTGTTGCAACATAACTTGCTTTTGCAGGGGAAAGGAAAAGGAGGAAAGGACAGGCAATAGTTTGTGGCAATCTCTGCTTGGGATTAAAATAGCTGTGAGCAGAGCAAAATTAGAAGTACTGTCGGTGCTGTGTGGGTACCACCAGGTTTGAATGAAGCAGGGGATGAGGTAGCTGAGAACTGAGCTGGATGGACCACGCCAGAAAAGGAGAAGTGTAACATAGAAACAGCAAGGTCTGCCGTATCTGATAGTGACTCTGCATGGAGAGAGGCATAAGAAGTTTGCACAATCCCTGTCCACCAGCTTTCTGGCTCCAGAGAGAAGAATCTCACACCTCCTGACAATTCCGTAAGCAAAAAGAAGCCCCTGTCCCATTTTGCACCACGGTGATCCCGCTGGCTCAGTGGCATCCCTGGTGTTTCCTGGGTGGTTGGGGGAGGTTGCTCTCATGTGGACCATCACTTCAGAACTGTGAGGACTCCCATGATAGCCCA